TAGCTTTGCGCCTTTCCTGGGACTCACTTGGTAGTCCAGGCTGGCCTCGAACTCACAGAGATCCACCTGGCTCTGCCTCCCGAGTGCTGGGACTAAAGGCGTGCGCCACCACCGCCCGGCCACAAATAGTTCTTAAGTCAGTAAAGTGCTGATTGCATGGATTTGTCATGGCGCTCACTGTAAGAAACATGAAATGAACATAGAAAGTGTTTCTCATGACTCTGAAGCATGTCTAAATGTTTTCTGACTTATTCTGGCTTTGAATTTGTTGCGAAGCAGAGGATGACCAGAGGGTCCTGCCTCCCCCTCACAAATGCAGAGATGACAGGGATGTGCAATAGAGTAGACCTGATAGGGACCAAGCAGATGCCATAACAGGCTGCTCAGTCTTCTTTCAGAGATCAGGCCTCAATTTCAGTTTTCTGAGACTTGAGCAAGCAGGTTCTGAGGGTCACGAACAAAAGACAATTAATCACTGATGCCCCTGCCGGCAAGGACTGGGAGATAGGACACACATGAATCGGGTCCCACAGTCAGTTCTTGCTAGGCCAGCCAACCTCCATGTCTGCTAAAGGACAAAGCCTGGGGCTTGTCCAGGCCTTTCCAAAAATGGGTAACTGTAACCCCCAGCTAATCCTAGCCAATAAAAAGTTACTAACATGATGGCCACTCACATAAACCAATCCTGAGTTTGTTCCTATGTAGTTTGTAGACCCCAAGACCACCTTGCTTTTGCATTGGATTTGGTCTCTTAGTGGTATTTGGGGGACTCTGAGCACAACAGACTGAAGTTTCTGTTCTATCACAGGTCTGTTTACTTTAAATCACATGAATACACACAGGTCTGTGAGTTCTTCCTCACCCTGCTGACCTGACACAAAAGCCTGGCACTGGAACTCAAGGCCATGAGAGTTTTTCATCTGTTCCTAGACATCCTGCTTATGGACTAGCTCAACACTTCCTAGACAAAATCAAAATATGTTGACACAACCACTGTGGTCCACACGACAGAAGGCATGGAAGACCTTTCAAAGTTAAGAAAACACAGTCCTTAAGTGAAGCCTGGAGTCAGCTTCTCCAGTTCCTTCTTCCTGCAGAGGGTCCTTCTGTATGGGGGTGAATGTGTGTTCTCTCACCCCCCGTCAAAGCTTTTCTATTGCAGCGGATTCTGGCAGATCTGTCGGCTGCTTCCAGAATTTCCCACCTGAGACCTTGGTTTCACCTCAAAATTTCCTCTTACTTATTTAACTGGCAGAGACAATGAGCACGATCAAAACCTCAAGACCGTTACACTAGGCCGGCTACAGAGGTCAGGAAGGACCAGACCCCGTTTGCTCTACAGATTCTGAGAAATCTGACAGCGTCCACGTGAGAATGGCACAGCTAGAGAAGCATGCTTCCACACCAAAGCTGCTCACTGAGCTCCCAGCTCCACCTCAGGAGCAGTCAGCTGACCGTCATTAGTTTGCAGTCCTGGACTTTGCACTATCAACTACTCCGCGCTACCAGGCAGCTCTCCTGTCCTAAAAGACCAAGCCGGACTTGGGCTGCAGGGGACATCCTAAGGAAACTGTCACTCAAGGCACAGTCCCTATGGCCAGGTCCCCAGCCCTGACCTGCAACCTCAGGTGACCCAGCCAGTTCAGCACAGCACCTCCAAGGCAGCTTCTTCCGCCCTCCCACCCAGCCCAGTTCCGCTCCCTCCAAGACGGACCCCCGCACCCCGCACAGTGACTCAGGCTGCGCTGCACGGCGGACCAACCTCCATGTCAGAGACGCAACAGGAATGCACAGCAGGACAGGACTCTCGCCCAACTTTGAAGAAGAAGCACGTGTGTCGACAGAAAGCCTGATTGGGATTTCCTGGATGGCTCCCCGTGATGTCACAGTGCCACAGACTACATTTCCCAGAAGTCTAGGCGAAAGAATTCCCGGAACCCAGGCATGGAGTTTCCACCTCTTGTGGATTTGTGTCTGGCTGCCTGCAGTGAAGTATGGGAGGAAGAAGCAGAGAGAGCAGGACAGCCCTGGGGAGTGAAGCTGGTGTTCACCTCCAGATCCACAGCATGAGATGTATTAGTGTGAGTGGAGCCTTTGACTGACATATTAGCCTTGCAAGTGTTCTGGTCCATGTGTTGTGATTTTAATGTTACCTGAGCATTGCTTGTATCTTCCCACTCCCACGCCCTTGTGTTTGCTCCACAGATATCACTTGACAGTAGTGACCCCCCCCCACCCCCGCATTCAAAACTGCCAGTGTACTGATTAAATGACCTGGTGCTTAAAACACATCATCAAGTAGCAACTTCTAGATCGCTATCTTGGCTCTTTACCTAATAAATGTGGCATGCAGCAATCATTAATTCTTTTGGTTTAAACTTACCACATTTTGAAATACTATGACTCAGATAATGGAATTGGAACCATGAAAAAAACGTAGGAGACCAAATGTAATGTCCCTTTTGAGGAACATGGTTTATATAATGAGACTTTAGTTTCAAAGTAAATATCACTTGCTGTGTCCATTAGATGTCTAGGTGTATTTGTGAATTTTAATCGTCTGTATAATGTTTCTGAGTTTCTTTTTTTTTTTTTTTTTTTTTTTTGGTTTTTTTCGAGACAGGGTTTCTCTGTGTAGCTTTGCGCCTTTCCTGGAACTCACTTGGTAGCCCAGGCTGGCCTCGAACTCACAGAGATCCGCCTGCCTCTGCCTCCCAAGTGCTGGGATTAAAGGCGTGCGCCACCACCGCCCGGCCTGTTTCTGAGTTTCTTGAAGCAGCAAGTGTAGTGTTTCCAGTCAAGGGTTGGGACACGCACTGACACAGGTCTTACTTCTATTAAACTAGATCCTGCAGAGAAGAGAACAATGGAATGCAGTTTTGAAGAGAATAGGCAGGGCAGGCAGACACACCTCTGAACTCAAAATATGTAACTGATATGTTACTGCATGTGATAATGACAATGGGGGGCACTATGACATGCACCAATGTAACTAAAAATGACAAGGTAATGAAAATCTGTGCTGCTCAGGTTTATTCCTTGCATGTGTTTGATCCCTGTTCAGTCTTTTGCAATGTCTCTCCATGGCCTCTGACATAGACATGTAGATCAATCAACAGGAACTGAACATCCTCACCCAGCACACCTCCCCTCCAGAGTTTTCCAGATATGACATGTCTAACACAGCAGGGTTCATGCATGAGCTGTAAACACAAGGAACTCCCTCCCTCACACTGACATTAGAATACAATGGAAGAAGCCTGGGAGGAAAGAGACAGGACTGCTCAACAAGGGGACCTGGACTGGACCTGTGAAGAGCAGGAACCAACATGAGCATTTGCTTTACTGGTTGGATATGGCAGTGCCCATGTGAAGGACAGGGAGGAAGTGGTTTTGTTCTGGCTCACTGTAAGAAGCATCTGCACACAGTGGAACCTCTGGAGTAAGGTCAGGGGAAGACATCCCTGCTGCAGCTGCAGAAAAAAAGACCCAGGAATGTAACCACAGCAGCCACATCAGTCAAGAACTGCAGAATGGAAATGAAGAAATAATGGAGTCTCAGATTAGATATGAAAGGAGCAAACTAGAAGAAATCAGTGAAACCAGAAGAAATCAGCATCAGGTCACAACAGTAACTAATACATTAATATCTAAGAAAATAAATAGTTGCTGCATATAGGGAGGAATATTTAAGCAATGCAAAGAAGAATTCTTCTTCACCAAAATATGTCTACCAAAAGCATGATAGTGAAAAAAGTTTAAATTACTCCTGGAATGGGCCCCAGATGTTAAGCCCTTGTAGTTCTTATGTCAGTAAAGTGTTGATTGCATGGATTTGTAACATAGTGCTCAATTTCAGAAACATGAAATGAACCTTAGGAAGTATTTCTTATGTCCATAAAGTATGGTCAAGTGTTTTCTGTCACAGACTGGGTAGCCTAGGCTGCCCATGAATTTCCAATGAAGCAGGGAATGACCAAAGGATCCTGCCTCCCCTTCCCAAATTCAGAGATGATAGGGATGTACAATAGGAATGTACAATAGAGTAGACTGGAGTTTCTTTCTTTCTTTCTTTTTTTTTTTTTTTTCTTTTGGTTTTTCGAGACAGGGTTTCTCTGTGTAGCTTTACGCCTTTCCTGGAACTCGCTTTGGAGACCAGGCTGGCCTCGAACTCACAGAGATTCGCCTGCCTCTGCCTCCGGAGTACTGGGATTAAAGGCGTGCGCCACCACCGCCCGGCTGGAGTTTCTTTTCTATCACAGGTCTGTTTACTTTAAATCACATGAATACACACAGGTCTGTGAGTTCTTCCTCACCCTGCTGACCTGACACAAAAGCCTGGCACTGGAACCTCCGGCCATGAGAGTTTTCCACCTGTTCCTAGACATCCTACTTCTGGACTAGCTCAACACTTCAAGGCCAGACCAGGACATGTTGACACAATCATTTTGGGACAAGAAAAACACCGGCACTGTTTTGTAATTACTCATCCCTACATTAGGGATGGAGGACCTTTCAAAGATTTAAGAAAACCCAGCCCTCAAGGTGAACCTGGGTTCAGCTTCTCTAGTCCCCATTCTGCTTTGCACTGGATCTTTCTCTCCATATGACTGCAGAATGTGTGTTCTCTGACCCTAATCAAAGCTTTTCTATAGCAGCTGATTTTGGCAGATCTGTCCATATTTCAGAATTTCCCATGAGTGAACTGTTGGGTCTTGGGTTTCCTTCCTGAATTTTTTAACTGGCAGAGGAAATGAACACAATCAATACCTCAAGACCGTTACACTAGGCCGTCTACAGAGTTCAGGAAGGACCAGACCCCGTTTGCTCTACAGATTCTGAGAAATCTGACAGCGTCCATGTGAGAACTGCTCAGCTAGAGAAGCATGCTTCCCCACCAAAGCTGCTCACTGAGCTCCCAGCTCCACCTCAGGAGCAGGCAGGCAGCTGACAATCATTAGTTTGCAATCCTGGACTTTGCACTATCATCTACTCCGCGATACCAGGCAGCTCTCCTGTCCCAGAAGCCCAAGGCAGACTTGGGGTGCATGCAAAGACATATCTTCACAGTGTACAAAAAGATTATTCCACAATACCTCTCTTACACTAATCTCTCATCCTGAAATGGGTCCCAAACTGACAAACTTTTAAATATTTATCCAGTCCAATACCTTTCTCTTTTAGCACATTTGATAATCTCCTGAGACTCACTATCCATCATGTTATCCTGATAACAGCTGATACTGAACAGTTCCGGGAATGGAATTAGTTATCTCAGATACCTCTCCTCGTGAGGTTCCAGGCTTTGACAAATCTTTATTGAGTGTCCAGTTACCTTAAGGGAACCCAGTGCAAATGCACAGACTGGAACCTGGGCTGCTCTGTTGTCCTTACATCCTGAGGTGAGGGAGGCCAGAGTGGATGGCCTGTGGTGGCTGCAGGGGGTCCCTGAGCAGGAGGTACCATGTTGGAAGCAGTAGAGTATTCACCTGCACCTCTTTACCCTTCTGAAACCCTGATCATCCCATGCACCTGGGAGGCCAGACCCCAACTCACAGTGGCTCTAAGGTGTAGGACCACTTTTTCTGTACTGGAAGGCCCCTTAGCTGTGTGGCTTGCAAGTTAGAGAAGCTACACTGCATCCTAGAGCCAGCTCTTTATAATAAGTCTCCAAGCCCGCTTCCTCTGTGGTTCAATATTCCCTCTGTCCTTGAAATTCCTTTGCCCTATGACTGTGATCTCCCTTGATTTCTACCCCACCACACATGGCTACTCTTCCTTATATTTCTACTTTTCAAATACATAGAAACAATTGTTTTTGGAGTATTGCTAATATTGCATATATGTAAATACATGCTCTTGAAGCTAGGGTTTTGTTTCCCACCGTCAGCTTCAAGCATGCGCTTCTCTAAGGGTCCTCTAACTCTCCAGTCCTGAGTCAGTGCCCCTGACCCTGAGACAATGAAAAGGAGATCAACAAACAGCCAAAGAAGACATTGTGTGATTAAGAACAGCTAAGGCTGCCCAAGTCCAACCGAGATTACTACTGTTTATCTCCTGGTATAAAAGGTGTTTATATAAATGCAAATAATGCATTCAGTCCTTTTCCCCCCAGCTTGGAGCATATAGTTCGGCCATGAATGCATGAGACCTCATGTTTACTGTGGAAGCAAGGTTGTACAGGGTATAAACATTCAAAAGTGTACCTCCCCTCAAAGCGAAGGAGAGCCTTCTGCAACTAAGATTTCCTTCCAGGGACCTCAGAAGTCAGTTCAGGTTCATATGGCTGCTGCTCAGCCAGGTGGATGACATGGAGTCAAATCTTTGGTCACTCCTTGGACCTTCTGAGCCTGCTGGAGGCAGGCACTAAACTGCAGGTGCAGTGCAGTCTACTGTCTACAGGCCATGAATAGAGAGAGCCACAGACCCAAAGTAACTTCTGAGACTACCACAGCATAGACTATGGGTGGTCCAGTGATCCCTGGAAACTGCCAAATCAGCACCTCACACCCACAATGTCTTCAAACTGCTGGAAACAGGTTTTAAGTCTCTGAACACTTCCCATTATTCCAGTCCTGGGCTATGCTCAGGGCACTTCATACCTTAATACAGAGATATTTCTACCCCGTGTTTATTGCTTGTACATTCCCAATTTTAAAGAACCTAAATCAAAATAGATGTTCATGAAGATATGAATAGAAAATAAGTCTTAACTTTGGGAGGAAGGATGAGAGGTGGGTGAGGTGGGGATGGCTTGGGGGGAGTTGAGGAGGCATGAGAGGGAGATCTGTGTTTTGTATGTAAAATGAATAAAAATTTTTAATAAAAAAGAAAGAAAATAAGTTGGTAAATATAAATGTGTATGTATATCATATACACACACAGAGGGGATGCTATGTAACTGTAAAAAATCTAATCACAAAATTTACAGAAAAATGGATGGATGTTGAATGTATATGAGTTGACATCACACTATCATATGAAGAAATACACTGCATTTCTCCCTCATATATTTAATCTAGATGGCAATTAAGGACATATGTGAAGAGATGTGTGTGTGTGTCCAGTATGTAAAGTACAAAAGAGAATGAACATTAAGTATTAGGGGATGAGGAAGGATTTAAAGCAGGTAATGAACATGGGTTGTGAAAGAGGACATGATAATTGATTTTTTTCAGGTTCCAACTCTGTTGTGGATTTTAGTTTCATGGTGTATCAGTGCATAAAATATATTCAGTGCAGACAGTGTCAAATCCAATGTGAATGCCTCAGATTCTGTTCAGAATATCTGTTCTAACTGTACAGAAGTTCATGATCTCTGTAGTATAACAGGCTTTTTCTTGGGCCACCAACAAATTACTAAATCATGGCATGGACATTTATTAGTTAGGGATGATCAGCCTTAGCTTAGGCTCATTTCTTGCTGGTTGTTATTACTTAACCTGTTTCTCTTCATGTATGTTTTGCCTGGGGCTCTTTATCCTTCATTTTTCTGTATATATTGCTTTCCTGCTGTTTCCATGGTTGTCTGAATGCTGCCAGGCTTCTGGTCCTATTGTGGCCCTCTCTCTTGTTCTCTTGACCTCTTCCTCCATCCTAAATTTCTCTTCCTATTTTTTTCTCTCTGCCTGAGAGCCTCACCTATCCCTCACCTGCCTAGCTATTAGCCATTCAGGTTTTAATTAGACCAATCAGTTGCCTTAGGCAAGAAAGGTGAAACAAATGAACACATCTTTACATTTTTAACAAAGGCAGCAGAAACAAGTGTAACACACCTTTACACAGGTAAAGTGATATTACACAGCATAAAAAATGCAATGCGCCTTTGCCTACTTAAAATAACATTACACGACACTGTAGTTTTCAGGTCTTGTTAATTTTCACACAAGAATTTTTTTACTTTCAAAATAATAGGGTTTAAAATTAAACAGAGAAATGAGAAAGGCCAGCTAAGATTATTTACTCCTGAGTGTGTATATTTCTGCTACAGTGTTACTCCTAAGTGTCTATCTGTCTCTGCTATACTATGTCCTCCTGACAGTGTGAGCCTTTGCTGTATTAGTTACTCCTGAGCTTGGGAGTCTCTGCTACAGTATTGACTACCAAGAGGGTGTCTCTGCTACTTCTCACTTAAACTGGTCCCTTGAGAAGATTTCACCACAGACTGTAGCTCTAAAAAAATCATTCTTTTGTAGAACAAATGTATATTTATTATGGTTATTTCCATTCATAAGGAAATATCTCTCTATGTTCAGAGGAAATTAATAACTAGGTCTACAGAGACCCCAAGCAGGAAGAAAACATCACATACACATAAGAAACCTGACCTTTGTTCAAGCTATATTGCTTGATCACATTTTAGACATTTAAAAAAAAACAGAACCTTCCCACACAGCAGCCTTTCTTTGTTATTATCTATGATGGAAATTAAAACTAGAAGTATAGACTGTGCTATGTAATCTAGAGGCTCATTCATTTCTCTGTGTTTTTTTCCAATGTGCATATGCCATTTACACGTTAATAAATTTTTTTAAAATAACACAGTGATAGAAGGTATGTGAAGTATTGTAACTTTCTACCCTCCAAGTTCATTTGACTGTTACACTCCTTCCCTAACGTTCATAATGATTGATAACCAGGAACAACAACAGCTGTGATCACTATAGATGAAGGAGGGAGGTCAGGGAAGGTGGAGAGACTACTGTTCACCATCCCTCTGTTGTTCTCATGGCAAAGCCAAGTGGAAGATATGAGGTGAGTCTGGCTGCATCTCATCTCCTCAAAGCCATTCTGTTTCTTTCCTTAGGTTACACAGGTAGAGGGCTCCTTAGTTCTCAGCATCTGGTTTCTTCTGGTAGTCCATTCACTTGATCCCTCATGATGCCCTGCCAGTAGGAAGCTGGCCCTCAGTAATCTTTGTAACGGCCAGATGCATGAGCTGTAATCACTGCTAAAACCAGTCAAGTTTGGACATATACAAAACCAATAAGGTAAAATGATATTTATTTGGGTAGAATTTGTTACACGAATTCAAATCTTCACATTCCTTCACCTATTGTTTCTTACCCTTAAAAACACTTACTCTCCCACCTTGGTGAGCTTTTTCTGTGTTATTTCTTCATCCCACTTAGTGCTCCCTCCATGTGAAGGGGTGTAGGACAGTTGACTGAAAACTGGAAGACTCTCAGATTGACTGTCTCCCTCAGGAGCCATCAATTGCCAAACAGCTCCTCCACAGGGTGAGACATAGTGAGACCCTTAGGCAACCATGCTTATTGTATGCTGGGGTTTAGTCTGTGTAAGTGTTGTACAGGTAGCAATAGCCCCAGTGTGTTCAAGCATGAAATGGTGCTGACATTTCTAGCAATGTTTCACTGTTCTAGAAATGTTTAAACATTTCTGCTGTCTCAGTGCAGACATCTCCTGTTTCTGCCTCTGACATTCTTTCTTCCTCTTTTCCCTCAGGAGTCTCTGACTTGTGGCTTTAGATGTTTGTAAGGGACCTCTTTTACAATGTGGGTATAAAGATGAGGACTTGGGACCCTGACTCTGCGAGTATAAGGATGAGAACTTGGGTTCATTTAGTTAGTATCCACTTATTAGAATAACAGCATTAAATTCTCCCTAGGGCTTATCACCTAGCCAGGCACAAGTATATCACCAAATTAGCATCACACCAGTTACCATTTGTGGATAAGCTTCAAATCCAAACAGAAAGTGACTGGTTGCTCTCATAACTTTCCTGTCATTATTGCTCTACGGGCACTGTTGTTTTTTATCTGATGCACAGCAGCTGCACCTGATGCCATCTCTGACTCAGCTGATGACTGAGTCTCTGTAGCTGCTGCCTTGACGCTGAGGCCTAAGACCGGAAGAGCCTTCCAGTAGTTTTAACTAACTTCTAGCCTTTTATTTTACCAATAAGAATTCAGGAGCCAAATGCTGGGTGAAAACCTGCTAGCTGAGAGACAGAGCTTCTTACACACCAAGGGGAGATATGACAGGAGCTTGGATGACTCCACTGGGAAAAACAAGAGTAACTATGCCACAGCCCAGATCTCAGATTCCAGGTACCCTGTGGACAAAGTTAGGGCATGGTAAAGGTTTCAGGGAACATTTATAGTTACAGAAGAAAGAGACCCATTAATCAAGACATGTTTCAAACACACTGCTTGAACAAACTGTTGTTGGTTACAGCAAAGAGAAGTCTCTACTCTTCTCTGATGACATACTTAGTATTTGTGCTCTTGATAATTAGATGTTTGTGTTGACATTCCAAAATAATTAACTTAATATTCTCCTCTATGGATACATTAGAGTGGATAAGACCTGAATTATCAGCAAAGATTTTACCACACTTCACATACTCATGGAAGTTTGTAGCCAGAATAAATCATTTGCTTTCTTTTAAGGGTTGAGAAGTAAACTTTTTAAGACATTTGTAGGATTTCTCTCCCATATAAATTCTATCATGTATTGAGTACAGATAAAACAATTAACTAAGTGTTTGTACATTCCCCTCAGTTTTACGAATTTTCTTCAGAGTGAATTTTCTTTTTTTTATGTTGTCTAAGAGATGAAGATGAGGAAAACCATCTATCACACTCTTCACACTGGTAGGGTTTCTGTCCAGTATGAACTTTCTTGTGTTTAGTAAGGGATGAGTGATAACGAAAGGCTTTGTGACATTCTTCACACTTGTATGGTTTCTTTCCAGTATGGACCGTCTGATGCTCTTGAAGGTGTGCAAAGTAGGAAAACTTTTTGCCACACTCTTCACAAGTATAGGGATTGTCTTCAGAATGGATTGTTTGATGTCCTTTAAGAGATGAAGATGAGCAAAAACATTTGCCACACTCTTCACACTTGTATGGTTTCTTTCCACTATGGACCGTCTGATGCTCTTGAAGGCGTGCAAAGGAGGAAAACTTTTTGCCACACTCTTCACATTTGCAGGGATTGTCTTCAGAATGGATTATTTGATGTCGTCTAAGGGATGAAGATGAGCAAAAGCACTTGCCACACTCTTCACACTTGTAGGCTTTCTCTGTGATATAAGCTGCCTTGTCCTCCGTGTGGAAGGCAGGCTTAGTAAATTTTTTTCTTCTCAGTTTACACTTGTTGAGTTTTTCTCCAGTATGAACTGCTTTGTGGTTTTTAAGGCTTGAGTAATAATGAAAGGCTTTGTGACATTCTTCACACTTGTATGGTCTCTCTCCACTATGAATACTTTGATGCTGTTTCAGCATTGAAGAATAGTAAAATAATTTGCCACATTCTTCACACTTATAGGGCTTCTCTCCAGAATGAATTTTTTGATGTTGCTTTAGCATTGAAGGATAGTAAAATAATTTGCCACATTCTTCACACTTGTAGGGTTTCTCTCCAGAATGAATTCTTTGATGTTGCTTCAGCATTGAAGGATAATAAAATAATTTGCCACATTCTTCACACTTGCAGGTTTTTTCATCAGTATGGTTTTTCTGGTGTATAAAAAGTGATGAGCAAGTATTGAAGGTCTTATGACATTCTTTACAAGTGTAGGATTTTCCTCCTGTATGAAGTCTCTTGTGTATGGAAAGTGTTTTATGAGAACTAAGGCCCTTACCACATTCTTCACACTTGTAGAGTTTCTCCCTTGAATGAATTCTCTGGTGTTGCATAATTAGTGAGTTACAATCAATGGCCTTTCTGTACATGTTATAATCATCAGGTATTGTTCCTGTTGAGCAAAAGTTGAGATATCAACAAAGGCTAGGAAATAGTCCTTATACTTAATGCTTAGCTTTTTAAAAAGGAAATATTTACTCATACATAGTGAATCATCAGTGAGAAACTACAGTGCACTAAGAACAAATGATAAAATATTGTAGGTAGAAATAATCTATACTTCTACTAGAATATGGGCACAGTGAAATAGAACATGGACATAACAGCATATTATTTGTAGATTATTAGCTAAGTAAATTGTAATGGCATTTTACTTACAGAAAGAAACCCATTAAACAGTAGAAATATTTTATGGTGTGACATTCATGAAATTATAAAATAACCAAGTTGCAAAAGGAGAAAGTTAATTGCGATTGTGTGAAATTGTATCATCTAAATACAAAATTTTTATCCTCCACATAGAGTTTTATTTTGGAAAGTACAAAAGATCTGCTGCACAGGAAGTAGATGGTCCACAGAAAGATTAAATTTATAGCTCAAAAATTGAAGACAGTATTTTACATTTTATTTGGAAGACAAGAAAATATATAGCTGAAGTATATTGAGTCTTGTTAAAAAAACAAAAACAAAAACAAAAAAAAACAAAAAACCAAAAAAACCTTAGGTTTGCTTCTGAATTACTGTGGTGATTTTTTTTTTTTTTTTGTATTCTAACAAATAAAACTTGCATGAAGATCAGATGGCAGAACCAGGCACTAGTTGGCCATAGAGGCAGGCAATGGAGGCACACACCTTTAATTTTAGCACTCGGGAAGCAGAGGCAGACAGATCTCTGTGAGTTCCATACCACCCTGGACTGTACAAGATTAATCCAGATTAGAAAATGAACAGAGCCAGGTGTAATGGCTCAGACCTTTATTCCCAGTACTTGGAAGTTACATACCTTTAATCCTAGCACTAGAAAGGTTGAGACAGGAAGTCATATGGCTGGGCACACAAAGGAATGTAAGGTGGGAGGAAACAGTGGTTCTGCTCTTTCAGATGACGACTCAGGGGCATTCTGTCTGAGGATTCATGGAGACAGGATCTTCCCCTTTTGACTGAGGAGTTGGCAAGGTGATAAGTGGCTGTGTCTTGTTTCCTCTTCCAGCATTTACCCCAATATCTGGCTCCAGGATTTTATTATAGGATTAATTAGGATTTGTTCAATATCTGGCATCCAACTTTTGGGGCATGAATTCATGAAAAAGCCACTTGCCCATGGCATGCAGCTACTGGCACAGGCTAGAGCTACATGCAGCCATAGTTATTACCCTGCCAGTTAGGTTTTCCTTTCAGAGTTAGCCTATCACCATCAGCCAGCTCTGCCTTCTAGGCCGTCCCCACTACATAACTTTCTTCCCCACGCTGCCCTGAGTGCATTTTTTCAGACAGCAGGTTCCCTCTCCTGGTGCATGGTGGGCTTTCACTGGACCTCCTCCTCTGGCTGCTGCCACACTAGGTACCTACTTCACTTCCTGATCATGTGAATCAGCATTGGCAGCAGATTTGATGAGAAAGTTGAGATTTCTTAAAGGGGGAGGATCAGATTTTTAAAAAAAAGACAGAGGGAGCATTTTCCCAGATTAAAAAAAATGGGAAGCACTATTACAATGGAGAAAGTTTTGTCTCTGTTTCATAATATGATAGATGATTTGAAAATGGAACAATTAAATGGGAGGATAATAATTAACGTAGATGGGATTTAGGTAACGTCAATTACAAAAGTTGTTTGTTTGATCATTTCTGTTTTATTGTTTAAAAAGTTGGTTAACATGAGTGTCAAGATGAAAGTTTTAGAAAAACTTGTTAAAACAGATCATAGCAATATTCAGACACAGACAGAAGAATATAGAGGAAAACCAATCTCAGCATTACATTATAAGGTTACAAACAGTCTAAGGCTTTCAAATAACCCACCTTAATTTATTCAGTAACCTTACAGGAATTACCAAATGATAGATAACCCTAAGGCTGTGTACGAGCTGAATGGACTCCTGTGCAAATTTTAGACTTGAGGAGCTTCAAGGAAGTGACAGTCTCATATGGAATATATTTACCTTTTGAGAAGCACATGTTAAACTACTGATCAACTAGTAATACAATTATCCTTCAAGACTGGAGAGACTTGGTTACAGCAGTCTTGCAGGATGGTCCCCAATTACAATGGAGGACCTGGTGGAAGGAAGAGGCTAAGGCCATTGAACACAGTAGAGATAGAGGTATTGAAATCTCCCAAGACCAACATCTTGGGTAGGGAGATTATGCTGATGTAGAAAGGCAATCTTTATCTGATGACTACACCCTGGCTTTACACCATGCAGTAGCAATGAATGCTTGGGACAGAATTGAAGGAGTAAGAAAGAAAATTGAGACATTAACAAAAGTTATACAAGACCCAAAAGAAACCTTCATGGATTTCTTACAAAGATTGACTTTAGCAATAAATAGAATAATACCAAATTCAGAAGCTAGACAAATAATAATTGAATCTCTGGCTTTTGAAAATGCTAATACACAATGCAAAAAGGTAATTAGGACATTAAAGGAGTGATCAGAACCCATGGAGGAATGGATCCAAGGTACAATCAATATTGAATCTCATAACTATAATGATGCTTGGATAACAGAGGTGATTTCCAGAGGCTTGAAGAAAAATTGAAATGTCAAATGTTTCATTTGCTGTAAACAAGGTCACCTAAAAGGGACTATAAACACGATGTTCCTAGAAACGTTTTTTCAAGGAATAATCCCAACAGAATGCCCCTTCCTTCTGGATTATGGAGAAGGTGTGGCAAAGGCAGACATTGGAGTAATAAATGTAGATCAACAAGGGAAAGACAAGGTAATCCTTTGCCTTTGCCTTGGGAAACACCCTGAGGGGCCCCTTGCAGGCCCCCATGTCAAATTCTGTTCATTCCTTTCCTATCATCATGGAAGAAGCTTCTTCCTTGAGCAATTAAAGAACCTAATGCCTACTGTAAAAAAAATCATACTGCTCTGGAGGATGAAACAGCTATAGAAGAGAGAAGAAGAAAATCAGGAGATACCATAAAGCAAATATTTTGGCAAATTTCTATAAAAGAACAAAGACCAAAATTAAAAATATGAATAAATGATGTTCTTATTGAAGAGCTTGTAGACACAGGTGCAGACGGAACAATAATTGAATGAGAATCTTGACATCCAAATTGACCTCTTCAGGAGGTAAATGTTCAGCTTTTAGGGATTGGAATGTTATCTCAGGTAAAACAGAGCATGAGATGGGTTGAATGTATAGGGCCAGAGGACAAAGAGGAAAATTAAAGCCATATGTGGCTAAAATTGCAATGAATTTATGGGGATATGATTTGTTACAGATGGAATACTCAGATTAACATTCCTCCAATCTCAGAAACAAACTATAAACTAACATGTGTTTCTGGGAAAAATATTAGAAGGTATTATAAAGAACAGTCACTGACCATTTAGGTTGTACAAGAACAAAGCACAACAGCTGCTGATCTTTCAAAGGCACCAAGAGCCCTATATTTAAAATGTTTAATAGACAAACCTCTGTGGGTTGAGCAATGGCCTTTAGCATCAGAGAAATTGCAGGACTTCGAATGCTGGCACAGGAGCAGCTAAATGATCAGCATATTGAAGAATCAGCCAGCCCTTGGAATTCTCCTGTATTTGTTATTAAAAAGAAATCTGGAAGCCGGGCGGTGGTGGCGCACGCCTTTAATCCCAGCACTTGGGAGGCAGAGCCAGGCGGATCTCTGTGAGTTCGAGGCCAGCCTGGGCTACCAAGTGAGTTCCAGGACAGGCGCAAAGCTACACAGAGAAACCCTGTCTCGAAAAACCAAAAAAAAAAAAAAAAAAAAAAAAAAGAAATCTGGAAACTGGAGAATGGTAACCGATCTAAGAGCTATTAACAAAATGATTCAGCCAATGGGCTCTTTACAGACTGGAATTCTGTTTCTTTTTCTGGTCCTTAAAGAATGGCCTCTTATAGTTATTCATTTAAAAGATTATTTCTTCACTATACCTTTACAAAAAAAAGTCAGAGAAAAATTTCCTTTCATGGTTCCTACTTATAATAATTCTTAGCCTTTTAAGAGATACTAATGGAAGGTCCTCCCACAGGGACTGTTAAATAGCCCCACACTGTGCCAATATTTTGTACAATAATCATTGGAAATCATACATAAGCAATTTCCTCAATCTATAGTTTACCATTATATTGATGATAATTTACTGGCTGATTCAAATGTAGATATTTTAGAAAGACTGTTTGAAGAAGAAAATAGAATTTTGCCTTCTTGGGGATTACAAATTGCTCCTGAAAAATACAAAGAGGAGATTCTATTAATTATTTAGGATATAAAAATAGCTCTACAAAAATTAGATACTAAAAGAAGAAAATTAGGAGCAACCAATTATAGACTCTTAATGACTTTCAAAGATTGCTGGGAGACATTGCCCATCTATGGCCCACTATTGGGGTAAAAAAAAAATCATGAACTGGGTAATTTGTTCAAAACCTTAGATGGTGACAAGGACTTTAATAGTCCAAGAGAATTATCAGCTGAAGCTGATAGGTAATTGGCTTTGGTGGAAAAGAAATTAGATGATACACATGTGTATTATTTGGATTCAAAGCTTGATTGCATTTTGGTTATTTTACCCTCTAAGCATCTTACTACAGGAATTATAATGCAGAGGGAAGATATTATATTGGAATAGATATTTTTACCACATAAACAGAGTAGGAAACTAAAGAATGTGGAAAAGATTTCTGATTTGATTTTTAAGGGAAAATTGAGACTTTATCAATTAGCAAGAATAGACTTGCCAGCAGAAACTGTAGTACCTTTAATGAATGATGAATTTGAAAAATTACGGGAAGAAAGTGAACCTTGGCAAAGAGCTTGCAGTATTTTTTTGGGGAGAGATTAACAATGAATATCTCAAAAGCAAGAGATTTAGTTTATAAAGAGAACTAACTGGATTCTTCATCACATTGTACAGGGAACACCAATTTCTAGATCACCTACATTTTAAACTGATGCAAATATATCAGGAAAGGCATGTTATAAATCAGGCAATTTAAATGAAGTGGCTCACAGCCCTTATAATTCTATCTAAAAGTCAGAATTATATGCTATTCTGATGGTATTAATGTATTTTTCAGAACCTCTTAACATAGTTACTAACTATCAGTATGCAGAAATAGTTGCTTTACACATTGAAACTGCTGAATTTATTCCTGATGAGTCAGAATTAACTCCATTATTTTATCAGTTGAAGAAATAATCAGGAATAGGAATCATCCCTTATATATAAAACACACATCTGATCCCATATGGGTCTGCCAGGCCCTCCTGCACAAGGTAATGATGAAACTAATCAACTATTGATAGGAAATGTGCTGGAGGTCTCAGAGTTTCATAAAAATACCATGTCAATAAAAAGGGTTTGAAAAAAGATTTTTCCATCACTTGGTAACAAGCCAAGGAAATTAAAAGGTAATGGCCTATTTGTTCTTAATAAATACTTAACCATACTCCACTACCTGCTGGAAGGAACCCAAAGGATACTCAAAGGAATGAAATCTGGCAGATGGATGTGTTTCATTTTGTAGAACTTGGAAAATTAAAATATGTACATCACACCATTGATACCTATTCAGGATTTCAATGGGCAACTGCTGTATGTTTTGAAAAGACTGATTCTCCAATAACACATTTGTTAGAAGTTATGGATATATAACTCATATATCATGGATATACGAGTACAATTTAAGACTGACAATACTCCAGCATATGTCTCTAGTAAAATGAAACAGTTTTTTGCTTATTACAATGTAAAGCATATTACAGGTATACCACACAATCCTACAGGCCAAGCAGTCACAGAAAGACCAAATCAAACTCTAAAGGATATGCTAAATAATCAGAAAGGGAACGACCCCCTGAAATAGATTGCATAATGCTTTAAGAACTTTGAATTTTCTACATGCTAATGAGAAAAGAAGGACAAAGAGCTGGGGATTTAGTTCAGTGGTAGAGCGCTTGCCTGGCAAGCACAAGGCCCTGAGTTTGATCCTCAGCTCCAAAAAAAAGAAAAAAAAGGACATCTGTGGAGAGACACTGGATAATAGGAAGAATTACTGAATTGAATCAGCCTGTATAGTTTAAAAAATGTGCTGACCTCAGAATAGAAACCAGGATATATGCTATTTTGGGCAAAAGGTATCACTTTTGTTTCCTCAGGAGAAGAAGAGCTATGGATACTATCAAAATTGATAGAGGTTCAATTTGAACAAGAGAGACCTCTTAATTAGAAGAGCTGGTGGTTCACCAACCACCATGACTATTCAATTTAAACTAACTTTAAGACTAAAAGATGCTTTTCATTTGATCAGCTATAACTTGCCAAAAGGGAATATCTCCAAAATTAGGCTTGGGGGAAGGGTTTTGTCTTTGTCTTTTCAGGAGAATGAAGACATCTAGCTAAGGAATCTAAAGACCACTGGATGAATGAGACATGTGAAGAAAAAGGATAAATCATCCAGAAAAAAAGTTTCAAGAAAAAGAGTAAATTAGCGTATTAGTATATCACATCTCCAACTGAATAAAATTTCATAATGCTTCCCAAATGTTTGTTTCTGCTATTCTATACAGACACATAACACAAATGTCCTCTTTGTAGTTCCAATCCAGTTAAAAATTAAAGCTGGCTTTGGAGTTGGAGAGTGGCTCTTTCCTTCTCTAAACCCAAGCATGCTTGTTAAAGGAAAATGCAAAATCTGTGTATCATGTTAGAAGAGCCACCTGATATGAGACAGAAGAAAAACCAAATTTAGGGATTATTTTATTGCCAATAATCTCATAATCCTTTTTTTAAACTTTAAATCTTTAATACAATTCTGTAGGTATAAATATTATCTCAAAATTAATAACACACACACACACACACACACACACATATATATATACATATATAATTTTGTCATGATATTAATGGTCATATAGAGTACTAACTAATTTTAGAAACAGGCTTCATCTAGCTTCCTATATATAATTTTGGGTTTGAGTTTCTCTCAGGTAACTAGGAATTAAGTATTTGTACTCTGAATGTACATAACAAATGATGATCCTTTAACCTCTTAGAGAACTACTGCATATGACACTTAAAATGTTTATGTTTTCTGCAGTGAACTATGACCATGCCTATCAAAAAACACTGAAGTCTCCAGAAGAAGGATGGGTCCTCGAAACTACGATTCCACCAGAACTATGGTCATGCCACTAAGCTGACAAACACTACACAAAGATTGGCTTTGGACTATAAACTGCTTGGGGCAATTTCAAGGTGGCTAGCTGATATTGTCCAGCCTCACAGATTACTCTATCCAGGACTTGAGATAAGCTCTGTATTTTTCCATTACCCAGAAGCTCAACAAGAAATGATACAGCTAGCTTTCCCAGGGATTGATAAATATTCCATTTTTTTCAAGGTCCCCTAAAGATGCCTTTGCCCCCAGACAGCAGGAAGTAAATTTAAGAACATGATGCCCACATTCTCAAGAGGTGGGGTAGGTGGTTTGTGGTCATTAAAATGGGTTATATTTATCGTCAATTAGGGTGGTTGGTTATAAGTTGTTCTTGGTAATTATCAGGAAAAAAGCTGAACACAAGAGATTAGATTCAGGGATCTTTTTTGAAAGGAAAAAAGGGGGATATAGATATGATAGTATAAAAGGGTAGATATAAAGATGATAGGAGGAGACAGGAACTCGGCCGTCTTTGACCTGAGAATTCAGTATAAGAAAGAAGTCTCAAGTCCATCACCTTAACCACTTGGCCATGATGACTCAGAGGTTAAGAGCACCAGCAGCTCTTCCAGAGGTCCTGAGTTCAATTCACAACACCGCTCACAACCGCCTGTAATGAGATCTAGTGCCTCCTCTTCTTCTTCTTCTTCTTTGTTTTTTTTTTTTTTT